TAACTAAGGTAAACAAACTAGGTTACTGCTTTTAGAAAGTAAATTTTAACGTTGCACATTTTTTAGTTAATACATGAGTATAAGAACAGGCTAAGTCTTAAGCTGCTATGGTGGGTTATGTAGGTTGAGTTATGGTTCATGTCAACGTTGTTACACATAGCTCTACAGCATATGAAAAAAGGTGTGCTTTGCTACCGGTTTGGTACATGGTTAAGCTAGTGTTGAGAGCTAAGGCTGAATAATTACAGTGGGTTAGTTAGTGTGTTCAAGTTTACATTGCACATCTTTCTTTTTTTTTTTTTCTTCCCCTCCCCTTTTTTCCTAATAATGAAGTATTCAGTAGGCTAGTGATCAAGGTCTAGGCTGTGTTTTCATTCTTTGTTACGTGGGGCTGTGTTTTCTAGACTGATAATAGGTTAATACAAGTATAATAGTAGAAGTACAACATGCTTTGGTTTGAGCTTTATAAACTGTGGGTGCAGATAGTGTATAGTTGGATAACTGCTTGTGATGTCCCCCTGTGATCCTTGGGTAAGCTAAGTTAGGGTTATAAATTCACTGGAGCATGTCTGCCCTATTGTGCCATCCGGGGTCGTGAGTGTAAGCTGTGCGTTGTATTACATGGGAACCAGCAGCTTGTAAAACAAAGCTTTGAAAAATTAAAACAGTTAAACGGTTAAACATATCCCAACTAGATAGGACTGAAAGTGGTAATGTCCTCAGGATGTGGCTGCCACGTATGATCCAGTCTCAGCTCCTCGTGGGATGAACGGGGTAATCGCCGCTGGGTTCCAGGTGCGTGGAGGTTTGGAGGCGGTAGTGGGGTCTTTACTGGCCAGACTGTCCTGCGGTAGACCCAGGGCTTGTAGTAGTGTTGCTGCTTCTTGTAAGTCCTGTAGGAGGTGCGCAGAGTCTCCGTGTGTCACCATCAGCGTGTGAGACATACGCCAACGGTAGCGTATGTTCTTCTGCTGTAAAAGGGAGGTAAGAGGCCTGAGGGACCTCCGCCATGCCAGCGTGCTGTTAGAAAGGTCCTGGTAGAAGGCCAGTGTCATGCCTTCCATCTGATAAGTGGACGCTCCCTTGAGTGCTGTGAGGACTGCAGCTTTGTCTGTTCCGGACTTGAATTGGACCACTAGGTCCCGTGGGGCCGTCACCGGTGCCTTAGCCGGTTTGGGGATGCGGAATAGACCCTCCAGGTTCATAGCTTTGGCCTGCCGCTGTGGGAGTAAAGCAGCCGTTAGCCTTCTCATTAGGTGCGGTAGTTCTGCGTCCGGCACTTCCTCCGAGATCCCTCTAATTTTTAGATTATTTCGGCGTCTGGCATCTTCCTGTGCCGCGAGGCGGCGGTCATATACTTGGGTTTGTTGTTTTAGGTCTCTGACCTCTTGTTGTAGGGTATCCAAGCGCTGTGAGCTTGTGTGTGATGCTTCTTCTAGCACTCCGATGCGGCTTGTTAGGCCCTGCAGGCCCCCTCTGATCGTGGCTATGTCTGCCTGGAGCGTGGTTTTCAGATCGTCTAGGAGTTCCTTTAGGACGGCCGTGGTGACCGGGGCTGTATCTGGTGTTGTCGAGCCCGGTTTTGACTTTGGGAGTGCCGGTAAGATTTCATCCTCCCCGTCTGTGGAGAGTTCGTCAGAGAAATCTGAGCAGCCGCCAGCGAGGGCGGCCATGTTAGGCCCGTATGTGCCCTGTGCCTGCTTCCACATTTCCCCGATATTCCTTCCCATGGTCGGCTTGTCTGATTTGGGCTTTTTAGATTTGCGCCCCATGGTGTTTGGGCAGGCGGGTACCGACCTTCGGGTCGAATTAGTGGCGGTGCTGGTAGCAAGAAAAAGACTTTTTGTGGCATAAAGCTCGGAGCTTCGGAGACATGCGGCCAGTCGCTTCAACAGCTTAGCTCCGCCCCTCCTTTAATTTTTTAAATTCTTTATTTTTCGTGTGGAGAGAAAATAAACTTATGTGTGTGACCACAACAGTCAGTACACGCCAATCAAAATCAGTACGCAGCATGGTAAGTTACATTTCGCACACATTTTGTAATTTTAGTGGGCTGTAATGTAATAATGAGAAGATTATCAGGTATAACTGTGGGGGTAGAAAACACCAGTTGTGGGGTCAGGAGTTGGAGAGAGTGGGAGGTTTCAGCTATGATTTCGGACTATGATAGCTGCACCCCGGTCATGCCTCTTGAGGCTAGTGGTGCATGGGCTGTCCTGTGGTTCCTCTTCCTCCAAGGGCAGTGGGAAGGCGTCGCGGGGGGTCGGGGTCCGCACTACGCCTGGTGCCTGAAGCATTTGGACTATGTCGCGCTGTGGTTTTGGGGTGTGTGGGAGCGGTTTTTGAGACCGGCGTCCCATCTCACCTGAACTTTGTGTGTAGGACTGACAGTCGTCCAGGTCTGGTATGTTCCAGGGCCAGTGATCTCCAGCTACAGGACGCTTCTGCCCTCCCGTCTGGTAGGCCTTGCCGCCTTGGCGTAGAGTTTTGGAGCCAGGTGTCAGAAAAAACGGCATTGGGGGTGACAGTGGGATACTCCAGAGTCTATGGCACAGTATTTGTCCAAAATTGGTGCGGGATGCCCCCGATTTCTTCGGATTGCGGTGGGCTATGGAGGAGCTTTAGAAGAGTGCGTCTGCTCTGGGATGGTGTCAGGCTCTGCCCCCTGTTCCTTTAATTTTAACAATAACGTCTATGTGTTTATTTTCCTTCACATGTCCAATATTTCCTGTTTATCCACACTTTTGATCATTATAGTGGAAAAGGACATTTCAGAAGTTTTCCAGCGCAGCACTATAGGGTTCAGGAGGAGGGCACAGTAAGGAACAAGAGACTGGCCTATTGGTGTGATTTTATTACAGATTAGAGACAGATTCTGTTTGTTCTGATTTAGCTTTAAATTATTTTATTGAACATCATGCATAACGACATCAGTCTTATTGCTATTGTATTTGCAGAGTGATTACTTTTGTGGCTAAAGTACACGATTTTAGTTAACCAATTTCTGTTACTTTGTGTTTGTAACTGTGTTAGTTACTTGATACTGTGGCAATTGACAGATTTTTTTTTTTAATCTGGGAATAATGATTAATTTGACCTTTTTCCCTGCTTCTGTTTGTATGCTTAATGGATACAGCTGTGCGTCACAGTTACATTCATTTTATCCCTTTTGTGTGCCTCTGCCACGTATTCTTGGAGGGGCCTGCTTGCCAGCCTCCTGCCAAAACACTATGGGCCAGGTCAGCGACTGTAAAGACCCATATTTTATTCCCCCTGGTTCGGCACTTTGCATTTGTGCGCATAGAATCGAACGCTAGCTCCCTAGCAGCCGTTCAATGGACCAAAACCGCGAATAGACTTCAGGGGGGCTTAGCCGCAAAACCCTGGTACTATTTTCAGCTAGGGGACCATGCAGTTATCGGTCAAATTATGACTTCCAGGAAATTCCTGAACCAATCTGGGTAATTTTTGGATATGTTGGTCACCCGGAACGGGGCTATCAGGGGATGTAACTTTTGTGGGGGGGTTTTGTGTTTAGAGGTATTTTTGTGGGTTTTATAAAAATGTATGTTTTCTGTGCCTGGAGATAATTGAGTTTAATACAGTGCTTGACTCTATCTCTCAGGCACAGAGGAGGGAATGTCCTGCACCTGAGAGCCAATGTAATCGTGTATATATTTTTACTTTAGTCTACTCTCAGGTCCAGGGGGAGGGCCCCTTGCATTGGGACCTGCATATAAGGCCAGTTGTGGCTGCCAATAAATGAGTTCCAGTTTACCCTCAACACAGAGCCTCGTCTCGTGCTTGGAGGGGAAAGCTATACCAGCTATAATCCCTGCTCTTGGGATTGTTCTTTGGATTGCTATAATCACTAGCTCTTGTAAGAGCTACACTGCTATACTCTCTTGAAGGAGAGGTCTTCTCACTGGGAGCTGGATGCAGGAGTTTGGTCCAGGGTGAGGACGACAAGACCCCAGCCAAGCTGCGGGGGCTACGGTGGTTATGGCGTCTGGTGCGGTGCTTATGGTACTCGGCGACAGCTAGGAAGCAGCGATTGGCGGAGGCACCCAGTCGGGGTGCCAGGCGGTCCGTCACAACATCTATTGTTCCATTCCTTAATACTTCAGGAAAAGCGTGAAACACTCTTATTAGAGATATAAAATTACTAGCAACTACAGTGCATGCACTACATAGTTGCTGAGAGAGAGAGAGAGAGAGAGAAACTGCCTGTACGGTTCTCCTGTTCTCCCAGCAGTCAAATCGTGGCATACATGTTGAGCTACTGGCCTGATTCTGGTAAGTGGGAAGGACTATTATTATCCAGATTCACTTTGAAATCTATCAGGGTTATTTACTAAAGATAATTCAAAAAGAATTTCAAATTTAAGGTAAAAATTACCGAAATGCAAACATTCTCGAATTCAGCTATGCTTTCAGTTTTGCTGGTTTAGTCTTTAATTGGAAATTCACTTTGAATTCTCACTTTAGTGAATAACACAGCAAATATTTGTTGTCAATTTTGACAGTACAATGTGTTTTTCTTTGTATGAATCACGGTAAAGAGCAATATGTAAATCCTCCATGTGACGATTTACCACACTGAAAAGGAAGTAAAATGAAAGGCATCCAATTTCTTATAAGTTGTCCCTGGGAAGGAGAGTGGTAAATGAGCTGAGTCAATACCATCATTCTTTTACAAACATTCCAACATCTCCACACGCTATTTCCCATACTCACAGTGATTGATTACACACGCACAGACTCTCCTTATGAGGTTGTCTCTTGTTTGGTTTCATTTTTTGTATGAGAACCTTTTGCTTTTCCAAGAAACCGGCACCAATTCCCTAGCAATGGGTGGATACCGGATTCACTGTGTGGCCAGGAGGTGGTGCTGGTAATAATATTACTCACTCGGTAATGTATACGCTATTCCTATAACACATTTACACGCCTTCCTTACAGCGACGCCTACTGGTAACCTCTTGTATGCCGGTCGCTTAGCTCGGTGTCTCTTTCCGGCATTTATAGGTTTTACTCTAGTTTTTCAGCAGAGGAGGGGTTAACAGTTCTTGTGTCATTGACTATCCCCAATTCTGACCTTTGTCCCCCACCCCCCTCCAGCCAGCCCAGCAGTTGTGACACCTGTGACAGGAAAAGCACAGCCTGTGATCGAGCTAGACGGTAAATTTCGAACTCACTAACATGCCTTTATTAATTCACCTGGTTCCATTAATACACAGTATTGTGCAATACACACTGTACAGAAACATCATGCTGCTGTGTGAAGTGGACTGGGAGACCTGTGCTTAGTTGCTTATGAAGTGTATTCAAACGTTATGGCCTGAACATAAATTAATTGGTAAAATAAACTCACATGTAGTTGCTGGAGGTTCAGATAATGGCATATTCCTGTTATCAGCCGGTACACCAAGGTTTTATTCTTTGTTATTGGAGTATTATTATGGGGTGAATAATGTCTGGAAACTTTGGGGTGCAGTTTTTTTTTATGTAGATTGCATGGAAGGGATTATTTAAGCACAATAACTATTAAAGTGCTTTGCAGTAGTTATGGTGCCGAGCGTCTCCTGGCGCTGCACCACAATAAGATGTCAAGCCATCTATGAGTGGTTTGATAGTATCCATGCTTCGGCAGTGCTCTCTGGCCTTCTATGTTGCACTGATGCTAAAGTCTGAGTTAAAACTCCTACAGTTGCATGTTTTGGTTGAGTAAGTGTCTAACCACTCGTAAACAGTTTGTCAGTTTACCATAGGGACTCTGAGTGCTATAAGCATGGTTGCGGTTATGGTGCTTACAATTTCCCTTTCTTTTTGTAATTTTTAGTAGGTAAAATGACAATGATGTATAAAGACATAGTTACATAGTGTCCATCAAGTGCTTTCTAGTTTTGTAACAAGCTTGGAAATTTCTTCTTGACCCCAGAATGGCAGTCAGATCTCTATTTCCCCGGATATATCCATGGCAGCACTTCCCCTTCTCAATTGTACAGGAACCACCCCCTAATTAATTAATAAAAGAGACTTCCTCCCCTGTCCATTCAGTCTTTTTTTCCTGTCCACTTCGCATGGACGTAGTCTGGTCTAAATGTACCCTTATCCCATGGGGAGTTCAGCCTCTCTCCCCATGGAAGCCTCAGGACACTGCGCCTCACCAAGGGCGACCCCACCTGGAGGATTCTCCCCTCAGCGACCAGGGAGCTATGCTGCAGTGACCCTATAGGTACCAGCTGGATGTGCCAGACCCATTTTGGTGATAATTCCCCAAAAAGGGTACACCTACCTGCTGCATAATTTTTGGGCTTCTTGGCTTTCCCATTTCCTGGATGGATCCTGACAAGTCTCCTGGTGAAGCAAGTGGCAGTTCCTGGCAAATGCCTGCCTGACCGGGGGTTTTTCTTTGTTTATTTATCTCCCTTTAGGTTCATTTCGGATAGGTGACCTGCTGTTTTCACGTTCCAGTTTTGGAACGCACGCCAATGGCGTGCATTCCCTTTCCGGCACTTCCGGTTTCGGCCTATCGTGGCACTCACTCCGATCGTGGAACGCACGACGCAGCGAGGAATTCATGGGCAGCTGCAGCCAACATTTCTCGGGACCACATTTGTTCAGCAGCAACATGATCCTCCTTTAACACATTTATTCATCACTATCAGCTAGACATAGTTCGATCCTCCACCTCTGAATTTGGTATAAGTGTCCTCTCTGCAGCCTCATAGTTAATTTGTAAATAAAGAGTTTTAAATTGCATTGGCGTTTTTTATTTACCACTCCCTTGTACCTTTCGGCTTGGGTATAACCCATACGTAGTGCTGCCATGGATATATCCCGGGAAAACAGAAAATTTACACCATACTCACTGATATTTTCTTTTCCTGGATATATGCCATGGCAGCACTATGGTCCTACCCTTTCTAATTTTTGTTGTTGTTCGTGGCTTTGTATGTACTAAGACTGAAGGGAAAGGGAAGGAAGTCTCTTTTATTAATTAATTAGGAAGTGGTTCCTGTCCAATTGAGAGGGGGAAGAGCTATACCCATACGTAGTGCTGCCAGGGCAGTGCAAGTGAGTTACACTCACCGATGCTGTACCCAGGTGCACCGATATCTTCAAAGCCTCTGTAGATATTTTAAAGTGATGAAAAAAATAACACCTTATTATTTACTAGTAACAGCTTGAGGAACTGACAACCTTGACGGCATTAGCACTACTTTTTGCCAAGTGGAGGACTGTGTGACACTGAAAAGATATAAGACAAAGTAGGGACTACTTAGTGTTATGGTAAAATCTCAAGTTGACAAAAAGCAGAGCTTCGGACATCAAGTCAAATATGGAAGTCAGCTGCACCCTGCACCCTGCTTCTCCTCGGCCCCAGGCTCACCCTGCTTCTCCTCGGCCCCAGGCTCACCCTGCTTCTCCTCGGCCCCAGGCTCACCCTGCTTCTCCTCGGCCCCAGGCTCACCCTGCTTCTCCTCGGCCCCAAGCTCATCCTGCTTCTCCTCTGCCCCAGACACACAAACTGTCACACATATAGACACAGATACACACTCATATACATACAGATGCACTGACACACTTTAGGATATACACATACACTGACACGCATACACACACACATACACACACATCTATACATGCAGTGACACTAATACAGACACTAACACACATACAAAGATACCCACAATTACATAGAGATATGGACACTGACACACAGATACAGTGACATACAGAGAGTGACACAGATGTAGACACTGACACGCATGCAGATACAGACATACTGTTACATAACCTGTCACACAGATAACATACAGATTGACACACAGATAACATACAGTACACACACACACACACAGAGACACATATACTGGCAAACATGCAGATACACAGAGACATATAAACATACAATGACACACATTGACATACCCCGACACATGGACTCATTGACACACACGGGTACATACCCTGACACACACAATGAAACACAGATGCATTCACTGACACACAGGCAAAAATACCCACACTGACATACAGATGCATACACTGACACAGGCAAAGATACCCACACTGACATACGGACATTGACACACAGATACAGTGACACACAGGCAGATGACTCAAAATAAATCACAAACACACACACACACATACGTACACACACCCTCACACACAGATACACACACCCTGACATACATGCAGATACACATAGATGCATACCCTGACACACACGCAGATACACAATTTGACACAGACACACAGACACATAGATACATACAGGTGCAATAATAAAATATGTGGAATTATATGGATTTCTGCACAAATTGGTCATAAAATGTGATCTGATCATCATCTAAGTCACAGCAATAGACAATCACAGTCTGCTTAAACTAATAACTCACAAAGAATGAAATGTTGCCATGTTTTTATTGAACACACCATGTAAACATTCACAGTGCAGGTGGAAAAAGTATGTGAACCCTTGGATTTAATAACTGGTTGAACCTCCCTTGGCAGCAATAACTTCAACCAAACATTTCCTGTAGTTGCAGATCAGACGTGCACAACGGTCAGGAGTAATTCTTGACCATTCCTCTTTACAGAACTGTTTCAGTTCAGCAATATTCTTGGGATGTCTGGTGTGAATCGCTTTGAGGTCATGCCACAGCATCTCAATCGGGTTGAGGTCAGGACTCTGACTGGGCCACTTCAGAAAGTGTATTTTCTTCTGTTTAAGCCATTCTGTTGTTGATTTACTTCTATGCTTTGGGTCATTGTCCTGTTGCAACACCCATCTTCTGTTGAACTTCAGCTGGTAGACAGATGGCCTTAAGTTCTCCTGCAAAATGTCTTGATAAACTTGGGAATTCATTTTTCCTTCCATGATAGCAATCCGTCCAGGCCCTGACGCAGCAAAGCAGCCCCAAACCATGATGCCCCCACCACCATACTTCACAGTTGGGATGAGGTTTTGATGTTGGTGTGTTGTGCCTTTTTTTCGCCACACATAGTGTTGTGTGTTTCTTCCAAACAACTCAACTTTGGTTTCATCTGTCCACAGAATATTTTGCCAGTACCGCTGTGGAACATCCAGGTGCTCTTGTGCAAACTGTAAACGTGCAGCAATGTTTTGTTTGGACAGCAGTGGCTTCCTCTGTGGTATCCTCCCATGAAATCCATTCTTGTTTAGTGTTTTACGTATTGTAGATTCGCTAACAGGGATGTTAGCATTTGCCAGTGACTTTTGTAAGTCTTTAGCTGACACTCTAGGATTCTTTTTCACCTCTTTGAGCAGTCTGCGCTGTGCTCTTGCAGTCAGCTTTACAGGACGGCCACTCCTAGGGAGAGTAGCAGCAGTGCTGAACTTTCTCCATTTGTAGACAATTTGTCTTACTGTGGACTGATGAACAGCAAGGCTTTTGGAGATACTTTTTTATAACCCTTTCAAGCTTTATGCAAGTCAACAATTCTTAATCGTAGGTCTTCTGAGAGCTCTTTTGTGCAAGGCATCGTTCACATCAGGCAATGCTTCTTGTGAAAAGCAAACCCAGAACTGGTGTGTATGGTTTTTTTTTTTTGGGGGGGGGTTGTATTTTTTTTTTTATAGGGCAGGGCAGCTGTAACCAACACCTCCAATCTCATCTCATTGATTGGACTCCAATAGGCTGACATC